TCCCACAGCATTTTCCTCAAGAAACTGGTTGCTCTTGGCATGGACTGGCGTACGCTTCGTTGGGTTAAAAACTGGCTGGATAGCTGGGCCCAAAGAGTCGCGGTGAATGGAGTCAAGTCCAGTTGGAGGCCGGTCACTAGTGGCGTCCCCCAGGGCTCAGTACTAGGGCCAGTACTCTTTGATATCTTGATCAGTAATCTGGATGAGGGAATCGAGTGCACCTTCAGTAAGTTTGCAGATGACACCAAGTTAGGTGCGTGTGTCGATCTGCTTGAGGGTGGGAAGGCTCTGCAGGAGGATCTGGATAGGCTGCACCGATGGGCTGAGGTCAACTGCATGAAGTTCAACAAGGGCAAGTGCTGGGTCCTGCACCTGGGGCACAACAACCCCAAGCAGTGCTACAGGCTAGGAGATGAGTGGTTAGAAAGCTGCCTGGCAGAGAAGGACCTGGGAGTATTGATTGATAGTCAGCTGAATATGAGCCAGCAGTGTGCTCAGGTGGCCAAGAAGGCCAAGAGCATCCTGTCTTGTATAAGAAGCAGTGTGGCCAGTAGGTCTAGGGAAGTGATTGTCCCCCTGTACTCAGCTCTAGTGAGGCAATACCTTGAGTACTGTGTCCAGTTTTGGGCCCCTTGCTACAAGAAGGACATGGAGGTGCTCGAGTGCGTCCAGAGAAGGGCAACAAAGCTGGTGAGGGGTCTGGAGAACAAGTCTTTTGAGGAGCTGGGATTGTTTAGCCTGGAGAAGAGAAGGCTCAAGGGTGACCTTATTGCTCTCTAAACATACCTTAAAGGAGGCTGTAGAAAGGTGGGGGTTGGTCTGTTCTCTCACATGCCTGGTGACAGGATGAGGGGGAAGGGGATAAATTTGCACCAGGGGAGGTTTGGGTTGGATATTGGAAAGAACTTCTTTACTGAGAGGGTTGTTTGGCATTGGAATGGGCTGCCCAGGGAAGTGGTTTAGTCACCATCCCTGGAGGTCTTTAAAAGATGTTTAGATGTAGAGCTTAGTGATATGGTTTAGTGGAGGACTGGTTAGTGTTAGGTCAGCAGTTGGACTAGATGATCTTGGAGGTCTCTTCCAACCTAGGTGATTATGTGATATAAATCACTTTCTGTCTTGGCCTTAAATATACATATAAATAAAATCTCATGCAAGATGAAGATGAGAGGCCAATGCAGAAAGTTGCATAAGCTTTCTTTCAACAGTTGAACTTTTCTGCTTTCCATAAACAGCAGGTTGGAGTGGCTCTGTTCAATAAAGTTCTGAGAAGGAGCAAACTCTCAGGATATTTTTATTGGTTGCTGCTAACTCTGCCATGTAGTTAGGCAAGGCCCTTGGCTTTTATTAGCAGATAGAGCATTTTTACATTTGTCTCTCACACAACTGTAAAGAAGAGCTAGGAAACTCTGATCCCTAGAAGCTACTGAAGTCCTAGACAAATAAGATTGGAAAGAATTAAATCTTGTGCATTACACTAACCACGTGAGTTTTGAGAGCTTGCCTCAGGATTTGAGAATGTTAGAGGAGACTACACCAGGCTTGCAATTTTGCTAGTTATATTTCATTTCATAGATTGGGACAGTCAGAGAATCATTATTGTAACTGTTATTACAAACATCCATAGGGACAAGGCTCACGCAGCCTCCTGCTACATGCTAAAAAGCTTTCTTAGCTAATACTCCTTAGAAAATGTGTCTTCTGCGTATACTCATGCATTATCCACAACAAAACCAGAACTGAGAAGAGATGTGCTATATCAGTGCTGGACAGGCTCATGTAACATACAGAAAATGCTGTAGAAGAACAGCCCTGGGTTCCGCTTTCAGGGAATGCCACCCTTAACACAAGTCAGTTTACGACAGCAGTAAATTAAAAAATAATTAAGCAATTAAATCCAGGCGTAGGATAATAAAACTGCATTCATGATAGAAACAAGCGTCAGAAAGTTTGGACAAAATTGTACTTGCCCCACTCATCATGTCTTGTTCACCTAATAAAATCCACCTAAGACAAGTTCCATTTTCATGTAAGTCCCTGGTTCCTAGAGCATACCACCTGAAAAAGAAGCTAGACACAAAGACAAAGCTTTGTTTTCATATTCTTTCCTTCCTTCCACCTCCCCCAATGACAACTCCCTCAAAAACAAACAAACAAACAAAAACAAACCACTTTCCTAGTCTTGATTTTGAATCCTTTCCTCCCACCCGTCCTTAACTGCAGTCACCTGCCTGCAATGTTCTGCCTTGGTCTTACTTGTTTTGCATTAATGGATGCAGCCCTGGCAGAAAGCAAAATAAGCCAGCACAAAAATATCAGAAAATAGTTGAAACACACCTCATTGTTTTTTAAATAAATTACCAGCCCATGAGGAAGCAGGAATACTTGTTTCTAGCAGCAGGGGCAGCTTTCAGGTCCCAGAGCAGAGCCTCTTCTGGGCATTACACCTTGTAGGCCATTTGCATACATAATCACACACACGTCATAGGAACGAGTGCTCATTGCTCTTATTTTTCAGTCTCATTAGAGACTGGTGGAAGTGTTAACTAGGCCCTGCATGGCAATAATGGGTTTAAGGGGACTGCTTGATAGCCTGGAAATACCATGCCAATCAGTGGAGCCCATTTCAGGGCAAAGAAGGGTAAACTCTCTCTCCTAGAAGAGGGCATGAGCAGAGGCTATTTTGTGTGCATAAGGTGATTTACAATGCTGGTTACTTGTTAGTGTGCTGCAGCTGGATCACATTAATGGACCAAGCTCTGAATTTGCTTTAGTACAAAGTCAACTATTACTGCTCAAACCAGATGAGCCCCTACAGCAGGCTGGGAGCATTGACAGGGTGCAATAATGTGGCTCAGCTGCAGGGGAGCAGTACCTTTGAGCTGGGGTGTGGTTTCAAGCAGATGGAAAATGGATCTCCCCAACCTGTCCAACTTAATCTGTAGCAGTGCATCTGCCTTTATCCTGATGTGGTCCCTCTTCCTTCCTTGTGAAAGTCCCTCCATCCCTTGTGAAAAAGGCTTTGGGTTTAATTTCCTGTTCCACTGAACCTTGAGTAGATGTTCACACCAATGGGGAGAAGGCAAACCCCTTTTCCAGTGTATTTGCTCTCTGCATCACACTGGCAGTGAGATAAGAAAGGCTCTATGAAGCATAACGTGAGAGACTTCAGGCCTATCTGGCACTCATCCTTTCTTTGTGATTTTTCTACGGTGGAACTTCATCCCTAACATCCCTTAGCTAAGCTGAAGGATATGTATCCTGCTTCTTGTATATGGGAAAACAAAGCAGGTGGTTTCAGTCTGTGGGACAGGTGTCCACATCACAAAACTGTCACCAAACTTCACGCCTTCTCAGCCCTACTGGCCAAAATCCTCCACAAAAGAAAAACATACCTTGCCATTTTGCATGCATCTACATTCATTTTTGTGAATTCACGCATCTGCTGAGGAGAAGCACATCCCTTCCTGTTTTTAAAGTTGTCCTATAGCAAAACCATCAAAAAGACTGGTGTGAAGATAACTTGTTAAGTGCTGAAGGCCTGGTGTCATTGATATTGCAAATCACTAATAAAAATGGCCTTTCCATGCCATTCTCCTATTCTGCTCCTACCTTTTGTCATAGGGATGAGTCTTAACCAGGTGGAACAGAGGAAGCAGCTCATGACAGCGCTTCCTCTCCTCAGACAGCCTGTGAAAGTAATTGAAAACTATTTTCTATTGTATTTCCTCAGAAAAGGCCAATGACATTGTCAGAGTCCAAACCACATTCCCATCTTTTTTTCTTCACTTTTTTTTTTTTTTTTTTTTTTTTTTTTTGGCAAGGGATTTTCTCATCTATCCTTAAGCAACCACAAGACTATCTACATCTTTATTTTTCCTTCTTAAGGCAGAAATAATCCATTTGGGTTGTGATGGCTGGAGTGCCTGGGGAATTGGGATGCAGGTAATCTGAACTAGGGGAGAAGTCAGTGAGGCATGGGAGGATGTTTAAATGATTTAGTGTGATGACTGTTTCCTACATGCATGCACATCACTGTCTGAGTTTGTAGGAAATCATCCCACAAGGAGCCTTATGTCTAGTATCAGGGGGGAAAAAAGATCCAAGAGAAAAAACAAAACAACTCAAAACACAGCAGATTGCTCAATGTTCCCTCCAGGCCAGTTACAGAGGAAAGAGAATTAAAAAAAAAATGAAAATAAAAAAAAAAAAAAAAAAAAAGAGAGAGAGATCACTTCAATGCAGTCTGCTTGGCCGAAGCTGAGCCCTGCCCAGGGGGACAGCCTCTGTAGAGTATGAGGAACACTCAATCGCCATGTCCTGCCACAAGAAGGTCTGGGCAAGGCTTGGGCACAGCAAAACACCTGGGTGGCAAATTTTGCCAACAGCACTGCAATTACAGGGACTCTGGCCCAGAAAAAGCTGTGTGCATTTTCCAGTGCTAATTAGGGCAGCTTGGCAAGGTGGAAGGGGAGGGAAAAATGAGCTTTTCCATGGGAACTTAATTTTATGAATATGGTATGAGTACCATTTTTGCTCTGCTTTACTCTTGCCCCATCCAGTCACATCTGGGAAGAGGGGTAGTCTGAAGATGGAAGACAGCAAGAAAAGAAGGCGATAGGCAAGGGCTCAGATTTTGTCACCCAAAGCCCTCACCCCATGTCTCCATTCCTGCTGGAGGTTCAGAGTGACTCAGGCTCTGGCTGCCCTGCTGCGCACATGTGTGAGGGACTCCAGCTGCACACAGCAGCACGAAGGAGGCCGAGCCTTTTCCCATAAAAAATGTCAACACTCAGTGTTTTTCAACCTGGAGAACCTTTGCCTACTAATCCTCTCAGCTTCCTTTCCACCTCCACAGCCTATTAACAACTCAGTTTCTCTTTCACAGACCGCTGTGTTTCCCACTTCTTCCTTTGGCACAAGGGAAAAGAGTTACAAAGGCTTCTTAAAGTAAGCCAGAGACATGCCTACACTGCTAGCTACAAGCAAGTAAAGTGCTGCTTATTTTCACTCACTGCCTAGAGCACAACAACCAGTTACACAAAATAAGTAGCAAAGCTCCCCCGTCTTCTTTAAAAAAAAAAATCTAAAAAACTTATGTAATTGTGCAACTAATCTTCACTAATCTTGAGCAAGGCATTTAAATCCAGGGAATAAGCCTATTCTTCTCCCTCCCCCTATCTTTGCAGTAAAAAGGGAAAAAAACAGAAGCAAAGTTCACAGTGCTGTGAATATTCCTTTCGAGAGCAAGTGGCAAAGGGGCCCGAGTCTGCTCCAAAGCAAACTCTCCTGTCCTGCCATTTCCCATGCACAGCCACTGAGGACTTTAAGAGAAAAGCTTCTTTCGGACTGATTATCACTTGCTTTTAGCTAAAGCATGGAAATCTCTACTCTCACAGCATACCATTGCCTTGCTTTTGTCTGGTATTTTTTTGTCATCTATTCAATCACATGTCTAAGAACAGAAGAACGGCCATCTGAAGTGTTCCTTTATGGTGGCCAGTGGAAATATTTGACAGTCCTCAATCTGGTAAGCAAATCGTGTTGTACAATATGTCTATTTGTTTGTCTGCCATCTGTGCCTCAAGATACATGCAGCTGGTAGACTTGCTGCTGTTAAACTGCTTCCTTTAATGGTTTATACCCCAAAGGAAACTAAATAGGTATCTATGCTTATGCAATGAAATGTATTCACAGGTTTTATGCAGAAAGAATACGGGTTGGCAAGCTGCTGGTTTTTAGAGTATGTACTCCAGAGCTAGCTGCTTCTTTGTAAAAGAGAAGAGCTACCAGTAAGAACAGAGGCACAAAGGTAGAATGCGTTCAGCCAGGATATGTGACTTTGATGCATGCTGTCTAACTGTTAATTAATAGTTAAGCAATAGCAATACACATTATAATGCTGCTTGCAGTTTGTCTTCCATTTCTATAAGATTGTGTGACCTGTATATTCAAGAAAAGGTAAAACAAAGCAATGCACAGTGCTAATTTAGCCAGAGTACATGCTTAGTTTGAAAATCAGTTTAGAGCATGAGGCAAAGAAATTCCAGCCTAGAGAGGTATGTTTGTGATACAATTATGCGTGTTTTAATAGTGTTATCAACTCTTTGCTACATTTCCTAAAATTACAGGGAAAAATGTGGACCATAATGTGTTCTCCTGTTACACTAGCATTTCATGAGGAAGAAATCAAAATGAAAGGATGTGAGATAGTCTGAGGGGGAGAGTGTGTTTACAGTCCAAATGGTGCATCAAGTGACTTGGGGTGGTGGCAGTGGGGCGGGAAAAACTGGGCGTGGGGAGCGGGTTTCTTCAGGGGACAGATTTCTGGGACACTATCTAACCTGAAAGGATGAAGGTCCCTTTGGTCTTTCATCCATTGTGTCAGAGCTAAAGACCAATGGGAGGCCTGTGTACAGCTGTATTTATCTTTTACTCTTCAGACAGAGACACACCACAGTGATGTTCAATGGAAGTCTAAAGGGTCCCTGGCTTTCAGACACCCTCAGGGATCTGGGAGATTTGGGTCCCTTCCAACCACAACCATTCTGTGATTCTGGGAAATATTTGCAATGAAAGCACAAGAGGTGGCCAACACCATCCCAGTTTTCAGGGACCCATGGGATTTTTCTCAGTGGACACCTTGTGGAACGATGAGGGCATATATGTCACTGCTGTCAGGATGGCTTATGTGTGGTTTGTTGCTAAATTAGCTTCATAACACAACACTTGGACTTTTTGTGAAGTTTTCAGAAATTATTATTACATGTATTATTTTCTGAAATGCCAGCAGCTGAATGGAAAGGGTGCAACAACCTTAAGAATATCCAGTTCCTCCTGCTGGAACATATGTCAGTAGACTAAAACACTAACAGCCAAGTCCAATGGAAGACAGGCTGCTCCCTGTAGGTCTAGCTCCTCTTCTTTGTGTTTTTGGTTAAAGCTGTCTCCACTAAAGCACCAGCCATACCCTCAGGCAAAAGAGCACCTCCATCCCACATCCCCAGGCACAGTTATAATGAGATCTACCACCCAGTATGTGACAGAACCCTAAAGCAGCAGATCAAGAGGAGAAAGCAAGTGGCCCTTGTCTTGGCATTTTGGGAAGCAGAAATATCCATTGAAACTAGTATCCAGATTCCCTTAGTGACGAACAGTGATCAGGTAAAGGCTGCACAAGACAAGAGTATGTGTAGGTGTAAAATAATCTTTCCACAGTTCTACCCTCTGAGCTTGCCTTCCAATGGCATCCAGACAGACCCAGACAGAAGGTAAATGCAGGCTGAAAGAACTAGTACTTATTCAAAGACTACCTGTCATCTATTTAAAGGAATAAACTTACTTGTTTATACTTCTGGTACCTTCCCTATTCCATGGCAATGAGTTCCACAACACAATTATGCCTTCCGTGAAAGAACAATTCATTTTGTTGGCATAAACTTGCTTCCTGACAGCTGAATAGGGTGCCCCTTCACTTCTGTGTTACAATTTAATTGTCCGTCCCTGTTCACTTTCTCTTTGCTGCTCATTAGATGTATCTGCAAGGTTTCCTTCCCCCAGTTATTCTTTTCTCCAAGCTGAAAGTCTGTCTTTTTTATCTCTCTTCACAAATAGATACTTCTTTCATTAAAGCACCATTGTTGCCCTTCTCCATCATTTTTTTAGTTTTAGGAAGGGGTAAGTAGGGCAGCCTGCGGTGATTAAGCTATGAGCACAACATGTATTTATACAGTGGCCTAAGGTGTCTCCTAGTCTGTATGTTTCTTCTTAAAAAATCTTACCTCTCTACTTTCTTTTTTTGATAAACAACGAGCAAGGAGCCATCAGTGTGAGACCTATCCAGAGTGAGCTCCAAATTTATTTCCTGAATCATCACAGTTAATTTAGAAACCACTGTTCCAAAATATGTAATTGAAGTTTTTTTTCCTTTTTTATTATTATTTTTTCCCCTGAAATGCACTGCATTGCATTTACCAACACTTATTTTTGCCTGTTGTTTGCTGCTGCCCCGCTCATTTCCAAGTCTGCTGAACAGCTCAGGGCTTGTTAAATGCCGTGTTGCACTTCTCCAGTCCTTTGTCTCCCTTCTTTAACCACTTATTGATCTGGTTTTAACTCCAAAATGGAGGTGTCAGCCAACAGGGAGATGATTTGAGCTGAAGACACTATTGTGCTCTGACACAGAAAAGGTACAAGATTACTCTTTCATATCTGGTAGTCCCTTTGCTGCATGGGATGGGGCCCACAGCTGGGCTGTGTTTCAGAGGTTCCTGATGGACTGTGCCTATTCAGTAAAACCACCAGGCTGGGCCATGCCCTTGAAGCTTTCTGAGAGCCAGATGCTTAGAGCTCTGGTCCAGCTCTATCTGTTTCCTGCCATACCGTCATTGCCTGGCTTCACACATTGGCCAGCTGAATTGCTTGGAAATTTTCCCCAAAATTTCCTCCTAACAATTTGGAATTGCATTTTAAAAAGGCAAGAAATTCCATTCAGCAAAAAGCTGATGTAGCAAGCTCACTCTGATCTGAAATGGAAATACTGGGAAATGCAATTTTTCCAGGGGATGAAAATGCACTTTGACTCCTAGCACTGCTGGCGGGATGCTGGAGGAATTTCTTCTAGATATGATCCTCTTCTAGCACTTCATTCAATGCCTTGCTAATCATGTGATTTTCCCAATAGGGTGACAGCTTTCATGTTACTCCAGATTCATTTATCTATTTAATGATCATAGCAATCAAGATTCAGAAAGGAAATATTTTTGCAGGAAAAAAAAAAAAAAAAGATAAGTGGATTTTCTACCAAAGAAGTTCATTGACTATTAAACCAGCAGAAATAACAGATAAAAAGAGTTTTATATTCATTTGTCTGTTATACAAAACAGCATAAGCTGAATCATTCATTGCCTTAAATAGCTGAGCTCATAAAAATCTGTTTGCTGCTGTAAATCTATTAGTAAATCATTGCATAATGAGCACACTGCACCCTTAAAAACTATTAATTGCATTCCTGTCCCGTCTTATTCCTTATGCTTTTGTCTCATATAATTCATATAATTTAAATATTTTCATTTCTCCTGAAAGCTGTTTTTTACTTATTTCCATATAGACCCAACATTTAGTACACACATTTTCCAGGTTGTTGTCCTGTGAATACATGGCTGTCTACACTAAATGTTGACTGTTATATCTAATAGCCCCCTCAGAATATTAGATTTATATCCCTTTAAAGTATAAAGAGCTTGGAGCCTAATTTATTTGTACTAGTTTGAGAATTCAATATACACACATGGCTAGATCTCAAAGCAAATCATGACAGGTTAGTTAAACAAAAACACCCCTTTGATCAGTGCAAGAGATGAAAATTAAGGTTTTCCTTTGTCACCATGACTCTTAGTTTGCAAAAAAATTAAACTGATTTTTTGCAAATGAAGCATTTCTACAGCACCTAGTGCCATGAAGTTGTACACGATCTGTAGAGGAAAACAACGTCTCTCCAATAGGGATAATCATAACCATATTCTCCTCTTTGGGTTAATTGTTAGCTTTCTGAATGCTTCCAGTCTTCCTTCTGTTCATGTGGGAATACCTTAGGGGATCCTCTTTATTTTCAGCCAGTGGATTTATAGTCTACAATCGTCTGCAATGTCTTGGTGAGAGCCAGCACTGCTGTTTGGGAAATTCACAGGACATCTGGAATAATTTAATGTTTTCATTTTGTTTGTTTGTTTGTTTGTTTTTCATGTCAACATTTTCCCACTAGTGAAGGGCTGCAAGATTTGAATATACCTTTCTTACAGGAACAAGCCTGAGTTTGGAAAAATGCAGGCTGGGAGTTCTGATTCAAGCCTACCAGTGGTTCATCCTGCCAGAGGAATGATTCTAGATAGGTGTTTTTTTTGGTCTGAAACTTATTCTTCTCCCGAAAATACAGGGTAATCACCCAGTGACTGTAACCCTTTGAATCCACACATGGGTAGACATGGGCATGAGTAGAGCTATGAGCAGCACAAAAATGAGCTGCCGAGACTGAATTCCAACTTGTTCAGGAGATGCTCTTCTTAATGCTCAGCCAGAGAAGTGGGTCAGGTTACATATTTAGATAAATATTTTCCATTCAGAAGATAATATTGTCCTCCCCTGCATGTGACTGAGAATGGGGCTGTTTTGGGACTATCTGTTTTTTGTTTGTTTGTTTGTTTGTTTGTTTGTTTGTTTTTTGTTTTTGTTTTTGTTGTTTTTTTTTTTTCAGATATGTTTGTTTTAGTTAATTTTGAAGGGATGGGATGGAAGGAGACGCCTACCCCTGTCCCATGATTAATGTAAGGCTGACCATGAACAAGATAATAACAGCTTCATCCTCTGGGAACCATGCCTCTCCCTCACTGCTTTATTGGTATTTAGTCACTGTGTGTCACCACACTGTCACCACCCTCATGTACATTTTTCATGCTTTTTACAGAAAGTTACTGCTGTTTTTACGGAAAGTTACTGCTGGCTTACAGGGTGTAACAAGAGCCTTTTTTTTTTTAATTTTCTTTTTTCTTTTTTCTTTTTTTTTTCTTTTCTTAGCTCTTCAAGGACTTTGTTTTAGTGTCCTGGTGAGGCCAAGCACTTGGGCACGTGTTTGTGCTGAACACATGCTTGCTCTAAGCACACTGCTCCCCAGTATGTACTTCTCTGAACCAGACCCATGACTTGGAGAGTTGAATCCCCAGGGACTGAGATTGTGCCTGGAGTCACAGAGGCTAATTGTGATAATGAAGAGAAAACCACAAAAGAGATGGTTTGGGTGCCTTGGAATTGAACAAAACCATATGTGTATTTTTATGTAAAAACGTGGCTGTTCACCCCATGCTCCTGAGAGGAAACATTGAGGTTTTACAGCTGAACTGGGTGGTGCATGACCTCTGCTACCTTGTCCTGAGTGACCCTGTAGAAAGCACACAGCCAGCATTGTCTCATCTGTACCTGCACTGCTGTGGGTGCATGAAGGCAGGGGGGATGCTCCACCAGCCCACCCTGCCGGCACCCAGCTGCAGTCTACCACAATGACCATCTCGACTGTGGAAAGGATAGAGAAGGAAGGATACATTCTTCCTCTTTGCCAGGAAGCTGGGAAATAGATGGAGCAACTTGCATTTAAATGCAGGGATGCTTTGGTCATGCAATCTACAGTTGTTTTGCTCCCTAAGAAGACTCAGTCTCTAAAACTTTCTGTAAAGGCTTGCAGAAGCCCTTGTACAAAGATGAGCATGGTGAAATCAGTCCCTGCCTTCCCTCAGACATTTCAATAACAGGGATTTCTGATGTAAAAGCATTGCACTAATTCTGTCCCCTCCCAAGCACCACCCTTCTCTCTCCTTCAGAAATTAATGAAGTAATAAACCACAACTTCAGATACTTTTCTCAAAATAAACATCTGATTCAGAGTAAGATCATGGCAAAAGAGATCTCATCCTGAAAGCTGTAACAATCTCTTTCCAGTTAAGCATCAACATCTGATCCAGCATTTGCAGTAGGCTGAATTCACATATTGCATCACTTGGAACCAACCGAGCCTTAAAAAGAAGAGGCTACCCCATGAGTTACAAGAACCAAACTAGACTCGGCTATCTGAATGCAAGATAGCAGAAGAAGTGCTTTTCTGGTAGGCTCTGTGTGTCTGATGCATCTGGTTCTGCATGATTCACTGTGTAGCGTTATGAGAGAAAACAAAGTAATCAGAAAAGCAACATTGGTTTAAACCCCAATACTCTGACAATTTCATGCATAATTTCATACAAAATTCACAGAATTCTGTTTTGTCATGGTGCACTTGATTATTTACAAAATCCTCCTAGCACCCTCCTCAAACATCCCCACACTCACAACTTGCAAATGATATAATGACCACTCCCCACTCCAAAATTAATTAGTTATAGATAGTTTAGCTTATTCAGTTTTATTTAGTAAAGTCTGTATCTCTCCTTCTAAACACTTAAACGACTTTTCTGAATCCTCCTGAGTTCAGCAAAAGAGGTTTTGGTTTTGGTAACTTCTGCAATTAATTTTTATGTTAGAGCATTTTGAACTACTTGGCTTGTATGACTCTGAGATCAGCTGCACTGTGAGTCCCCAGAAAGAAGGCCTTATGTCGACTAAGCCATGGGAGAAGCTATCTAGCAGTTCTCTTCCAGGAAGCATTTCCTATCATATTCCAAATTTTGTTCTGTCCTGGTCCTCCTTAGATACACTGAACACAGCAATTAACATATAAAGCATGAAGGAGCTGGCTTTCAACATATCCTTACACCCCTCCCATCTGAATCACATCACATATCTCTGTTCAGTCTATTAAACAAGATACTGTTAAAGTTATCTCCCAGAATACTTTATTTAATCACTTTCAGTTAGTAAAAAAAGGATTTAGCCAAAAGCTATTTCCCTCACATGGGCTTGCAGCTCACAAACAAAACAGCTCCCTGAAGAGCAAGAACTGAGTTCATTGAGGAACATGCTAATTAAAGCTGGATGAGTTTCCCTCATTAGATGTAATTACTTTAGGTTTTGCAGGCTGTCTTCTATGGGGTGTCCTTCCTGGCTGATGTGTTGAGACTAATTAAGAAACTGCGATGTGCTAAGTGCATAATTTCCAGCAGAGACCTTCTTTTCAGTGTCCTGGCTTTCCCAGTGTCCACAGTAAGTAACCTCTGTATATAAAAATAATGTTTGCACAAATGTGTATAGCAAAACATGCAAATACGTAAAACAGATAAGAATTGTAGACTCTTTTACTCTTTCAAAATGGATTTGGACTATCTAGAAGAAGAGATGGTGTTCAGATCTTTGTGTAAACCTTTTGCATTCATGGTTGAAAGCAAAGCCTCTTGTAAAAACTTTAGGGTGTTTGTCCCTGAATGAACAGAGATTGACCCCAAAGAGTGAAGTATAACCTCTCTGTTAATCTTATGTTCCAAATAGCTTTGGAGTTATCCACTTAGGGCATTTCTCTGAAGGGCAACGGGGGCCAGGAGGTTATGAGAGGGTGCCTAGGATGCAGCAAAAGCTGACACCTCCTTCTCTGACTCCAGTATGACTTTAAATACACATTAGAGAAAAACAGATTCAGAGGACACTAATTATAGTCATAGCCTTCATCAGATCATGGACCACCCACTCCCTCACAGATAGTGCTGTTCATCTCGTGCTGGGCATTGGAACCAATGGGTTACTTTAACATGTAGGTGCTGCTGGTTGTGAGTGAAGCCTGCAATCACCTCTGAATCTCAAAGAGCTGAGAAGCACTTCTTAAATCTGGGCCACAAGCAGCTCAGACAGCTGGCTCACTAAAGAAATCCTGCCAGAGATGGAAACAATGTGATTGGTAATTTATCTTTACTGCACAGCAGTATTCACCATGCTGCTATCCTAACCCCCAGGCATCTTCACCAGGACAGAGGCACAGAGTGGTCTCTTTTCTCCAGCATCTCAAACCCCTGATTTCCAGGAGGCACAAAGTATGCTCGAACACAAAGCTGAGCCATGAAAATGCAGATCAGCTTCCAGGTGTTAGTAGCTGATACCAGAGTGTGTTTCCTCCCATTAGCTTCTCCCACTACAAAATCTCTATTGGAAAAGATGGGTGCCCACCATGAAACTTGCATTTGCAAATCGGGAATTAGGCAGATGAACTGTGAAGATAAAATAAGTTTTAGGTGATCTGCCTTATCAAGGGCTTACTTTGTTACTGAGCTGAACAAGTGCTGTGGCTTGACCGTCAATCCATCAAAGGTGAACTTTTGGACCATCCAAAAATTCTATCAGAAAAAAAAAAAAAAAAAAAAAAAAAAAGTTTAAAACTAATCACATGTTCCACAGAAAATGTCAGTGTTGGCAATTTATAAAGGAGCCTTTTCTCACAATATCAATTCAGAACACGGCACCTCAGTGTAAATTCCTTTTTTTTTTTTTATGTAGTAAGGTGAGATACAGGAAACTATCTGGCAATATCAATGTTTTCCATGTAGGAGATATTTGCCTTCTCAGAAATGAAAGCATTATCCAAATCTCATCAATTATATTTCTCTCATTTTGAAATATCGTTCTTTTTGTATTTTGTTTCCAGTTTGTGTCTATATCCTTTTGGACACTGTATACCTACAACCGAGAGCTAGTTTACCCCAAAAGACTTGATGGAGTCATTCCGCTCTGGTTAAATCATGCTATGGTGAGTAAGAAACATCCCTGCATCTTGCTCAGAAGAGAGATTTTGCAATGTGTGTTACCATTGGGTTACTATGTTACCAATGTGTGTGTAAACCATTGGGTTAGGTTTTCCAGAAAAGTTTCACAGCTTCTTCTTTCTCACCTCCTCCTTCCTACTTATCTGACTTTGATGTTGAGCTGTACACAACAAACAGATGCGTGCTTGAAGTTGCCTCAAGAAGCCTTTTAGCACACCAGGAATGTCAGTGAATCATTGCTAGTCAAACCTCTGAAGCCACTGAAACACTGTGCAGTCACGAAAAAAAAAAAAAAAAAAACAAAAAACAAAAAACAAAAAAAACCTTCTTGGTTATTGTAGCTCAAAAAAAAAATCATCTCTGCAAACAGAAATATATGAAATACAAAGTGTCTCTGAGTATAACAAAGTGCTTCTTAGTTTTTAAATAAGGTTAAAGAACCAAAGAATCCGATGGCTCAACAGCTAATAAGCTAATGTGTGCACAGCTTTGAATAGCTGAATTGAAATGATTGTTTACAGATTTCTATAAATACTTTCCAGATTTCTCCTTCATTTGCTCTGGCTGTTTTTATGATGTGTTGAATAATCACATATTTCTCATCAGTCAAGTGTAAGAAGGATGACAGTAACATGGAAACTGTGGGTGGATTGTAAGGTCAGGGAAGCTTCATAAGTCTAATGGCAAGGGGGAGAGAAGGGAGAGGTTCAGTGTTAGACTGAATCAGAGGAGCCAGAAAGTATGAAATAAGAGCGCAGAAGTCCCAGTCTTATTTCTCTCCAGATTTCAGTTCTTAAGTACACTTTGCAACCCACTGCAGCAGTTCCCAAGGCATTCGAAAGGTAAACTTGTCAAAGGTCTTGAACAGCCCTTTGATTGAGATAAGCTTATTTAGGAATCCAAAAACACATAGGCATGTCCGCATTGCTGATATCCAAGTGATAAACTGCAGTCGTTGTGCACTTTTAACCTTATCACCTGCTCTCTGCACACCAATCCATCTCCACTGGGGCTCTTAAGCAATCCAAACCTCCACTGCTCCACACTGCTCCTTCTTAAAACCATCATCCACCAGAAAAGATTCTTTTTGCCCTCAATATCACAGTTTTCAGGTCCAGAGTTTGATATTGGTGACTGGTCAAAGTTCGAAATCTTCACAGCAGAAGATGAACTGGGGAAGGGGAGGGCACAGGATAGCGATGAGAGGAGAGGTTTTGCTTTTTGTTTAACTCTGGTGCACAGCTGAGAATTTGCCCTTTCCATTTCCACATTTGTTTATGACATGGGAAGGTTAGGAGGTACTAGAACTTACATTTTCATTTCATGAGGAAGAAGTATTCAGATAAACTCCTAAAATGTATTCCTTATAACTTCTTTCTTACCTTACCTACATCTACATTTCATAACAGAGTCATTTTGACAGCAACAAAAAGTTTTTCCATTTTAGAAATGTCAAAAACAAGTGTTAAAAAAGGAAAACAATTCTTCCTCAAAATTATTTTGGTGAGAGAAATTTCACATAAAGCAAACTTCTACCACAACCTAGTATTTTATTTCTAAAGTTCTTAGTATACTGCATGTATCTTGTGCTTGACAGTTCCTGGGTGGGAAATTTTCCTTCCAGTAGCTATTGAGTGCAAGATACCTGCCATGAGTTCCGACTGTTACCTGCATGGACTATCCATATGTTTTGGGACACTTTTCCACAGCAGAGCACCTTAGAAATCAGCTGAAATCACTAGCTTACCAGGCTATAACGTGCTACTCTGCATGGCTCTGAAGCAAGGGCCAGGGTGCAGCCACAGCACCAACCAGCCACTCAGAAATGATCTGCTCAGTCCCATGAAAATATTTGGTAGTCCTACCATCTCCTCCTCACCACTGGGTAGCAAAGCTGTTTTTGTTGAAGGTGAATCATCTAATAATGATAAAGATTTGAAAATAAATCTTTAGTGCACTTTAGAATGCAGCTTCCTTCTAGCTTTGCAGAAAGCTTTCTTTCCAGCCCAACAGCATTCAAGTCTTCAGTTTTAGCTGAGGCATTTCTTTCTTCCAATCCAAAATATTCACTGCGAAGATATGGTGAGCTACTGACACTCTAAGGGATAATGTCTAGGTATTGATTACCAAGCAGATGCCTATTTTTGGGGGGGTTCATTTTCTTGCAGGTTGCTATGCTTTATGGCTCTGAGATTACGGACATTTCATAGCAGATTGAGGCAGCAGCTACCTGGCTTTGGTGGAAAAAGACACCAGTGTATCAGCAATACACGTCAGTGCCATATAATTTGCAGTGAGATTGTTATTATTTTTTTTTATCTTGGTCTATTTTAACATTCTAAATAGGGAAAGCATATGTTATTATGCAACCAAAGAGTAAAACTAAAAAATAAGCATATGAAAACACTTCAGGAATATGAAGCTCTTGAGTACACAGTGATGCTTCGGCACTTTCCTTCCAAAAATGAACTAGCCACTTATTTTTCTCACATTCACTGCTCTCAAAGTGGGAAGCTGTTATTGCCCACCAGGTAGTCCAGAGTCATTCAGTGCATTACATTTTAGGCATGTTTTTGCAGCCTCAATTGAAACATTCCCTGTTCTGCAGAGAAGATTGCTAATGCTGAAAGGAGCGGATACCTAGGTTTCTCTCATTGCCTTTCTACTGAGTTTACCATGAAGATTGTGTCTCAGCTTCCTTTTCTGCTTGTCTGGGATAATTGTGTTTTGCTGTCCTTATACAAAACTTTAAGATTCACAGATGAAGGGAAACAAACAAACAAACAAACAAACAAAAAAACTACTTATGTCTCCAACACAATAACGTATTTTGTTTTGAATGGCTGAGACAAAGGTGCACTGGTACATTTGTCAAGCAAAATTGTTTCTTTCCGAGTCATCTCTTTTCAAGGAACATCTGGATACTCTCCAGAAGGCCACTAACTGCTGGAGGCAGCTTGGATAAAATCATATTCATGTATTATTCAACTTAATGGCAATAGAGGGGAATACTACTTTTTGAAGGGGCTGACAAGATTGAATGCTGAACAAAAAAGAGCAATGGCAGATCAGAAGAGATAGCTCAAAGCATTTTAATCTATAGCAAAAGAAAAGATACATGTCAACATTAACGCCCAGTTGCATTCACAAGAGTGGTAATGGTACAATTGTCTTTTCATAAAGGAGGTTTGTATTTTCTGTCTGCAAGGCACAATTCCTGTAAAACGCATATTTTCTTGTAAAAAATACATTTTCCTTTATTTTTAGGCCATAGTTATGTTTGGTTTAGCCAGCTTTTTTTTTTTCCCCAAGATATTCTGTAGCCATACTACCCCCTCTCCTTGAAAAAAAAATAAATCATCATTTTAGTGTCCTAGGCACTTTATTGACACATAATTATAAACATTTCCTGTCTTGAAGATCTAGTAAACTAAATAGCTAAGAATAAAAAAGAAGCAATGGCAAATAGAGGCAAAGAAGAAAAATGACTTACCTTTCTGTTGTCTTCTTTGCTGAAGCCATATTGTCTGAGCCTCTTAAGTATCTGAGCACTTTGCCCTGATGAAGAGTAGCTAAGCAGCACCTGAAAATAAAAATAAAAACAAAACAAAACAACAACAAAAAAAAAAAAAAAGAAAAAAAAAAAAAGAAACAGGACAGTCAAAGAAAAACCTGGGTGGATAAGTATAATTGACCTTCACTGAAGCAAGGCACTGATGCCCTGACAGTAACACCAGCAAGATGTGCTGTGCGTTTCCTCATCTTGGAGCTGTTTGGAATCTACAAGCTGCTTTTCTGATAGCCATCTAGCTTTTCCTTTTCCATTGCCTTTCTAGTGTAGATACAACTGCATCAACAGAAATGTGGTGTTGTATCGGTATGGTTTACCTCCATCTAGAAAAGCAAACAAGTTGTATGAATACAAATCACTCTTATTCATATATGAGGGCATCTATATGAAGGATTATATCTTTCTATAACTGCATTGGAAAGCTGCTGCAACACTAACCAACCGAAGGGGTGCAAAATCAATGCATAGAGCAAAACCTTCTTGTCCAGGCCACTCCAACCAGACTCCTGCTTGAAGCATGTACACAAGAACAGTTTCATCTATGACCACCTCACATGATTCTTTATACAATTGTATTTAACTCTTAATAATTCTTATATATTTACACAAGAGAGAAACATTTCCATTTGTTTTCATTTCACAGTATCTCAAACTTAAGCTGTCTGGCAACTATGGACATTCATCAGCTTCCAATTATATTCAGCTTTTGGCAAAGAAAAAGAATGTGTGTGTGAGGGATATGGCACATTAAATTAATCACCCCATATACTTTAAATGCAAAGATACTTAGCTTTTCCCAGCATTACATATGTTTTTTGAAGTTTCCATTTTTATTGACATAAGCCCATTTCCTCAGGGAAAAAATATGTTTCACAGACAAATATTATGGCAGGGAATCCTCCCTGGCTGCTGCTACCTCAGCATGCACAGGTGCTGTACCCATAACCTACTCTGTGAAGGAACAGCTGGAGAAAAGTATTCTGCAGCGAAGGATGTGTCATTCCAGTTCCATGTCAGCTTCCAGCTGCAGTGCAACCTCAGCTTCCTAGAGTATGCATCTAATGCCAGGGAAAAAAGCAATTAAAATTCTGTCTTTTGCACCGATACAAAACATTTGTTAGTAAGCATTCAGATATTCAGCCAGGGCCTTCTTTACAGAAATACATACATGCAGGCAGGAAATGTTACCTCTGATGCCACTATACTTTTGATCGTACAGTTGCTCTGATGTTTCATCTGTTTTCCCAATCACACTCCCAAACTACCTACATGTCTATGAAAACACAGAAAAAATAATGCCTTTAAGACATATAAGCATAAATGGAATTGGAAAGGGCAGACACAAGTAGTAGATGAAAGTTTGGTGGAGTGCTGCAGGACTTAAATTGAGCAATAGCTTCCCAACCAATTTGG